TTTACTTTTTTCCCATAGGGACACATTGTCAAGCCAATGTTTTGGAACTGAGTATACATAGTTACATACATTGATACAAGTATCTATGCTAATTAACGAAATACACATAAAAGTCAACTAAGGCAATGCCAAAGAACAACTCACCACCAGTAGAGTCCCAGTAGATGGCATGAAAGGTCTATAGGATGGCAGGTCCATAGTAAGCCTAATGTAAAGGCCTCTGAATTACAACCTGTATAGAGATAGTGTACTAGGATATAATACAGTACTCAGAAAGGCCACAAGGAGGGCAGTAATGCTAATAAGCGTCAGATAGCACAAGATGTACAGCTACAGATATATGTTACATTTAGAGAAAGTCTGTCTGGACAGGGCCGTTCCCACGACAGCAGGAGGGGCAGAGAAGTCTCCCTAAAACCAGGTTAGCCGCTGTCACACGCACAGTGGAATTGGGATAGGCACAATGTACGTTAGTCAGTGGCTTACCTGATTTCAGATTTGTAAGATATCCTACTAAATGCTACCATGAGGTGCTGAGGGGGGAAAAACATGGTTGATTATTATACAGTAATAATACATAATAGCATAATAATAATAATAATAATAATAATAATAATATCCTAATTGTACATCTTATTTGATATCAACATGGCATGCAAATATAAACTTAATTGTGGCCTTAGGAATTTGGCAGAGCAGTTGCCTAAATAGTGTGCATCCAAATGCTGAAAAATAACATTGGGATTCAAAAAATGTAAAACTATATGGCAGTCATAGTTGGCTTGGCAGGCTCATCTTTGGCATATTCATCTGAATTCTCAATATATTTAGGTTGTAAAATATTTAGCATGGTTATCTTTTAATCTTATCAGTCAAAATTGCAATATGATCAACACAAGTGATTCATTCTACAACATAGGCCTATAACACAGCATCATACAACCTGTGAAATATCGCATCTAGCTATTTGAAAAACATTTTGAAAATATTCTCATTATGAACAGAATACAAAATGACACCAGATAAGAATATACAGTACAGCCTACTCACCAATCTCCCAAGTTTTATTTTGAACAGTCATTTGTAAGAGAAAATAACTCCAATAGCTCTGATGAGTGCTACACTTGAATGCATGCAAACACTGTAACTGTTTTCTCAAAAAGGTAAAATATGTCATTAAAGTTAGGTGCATTTAAAGAACAGCAGTTGAGGCTACACCAACACAGAAGTTCAGTCCACTTGCTCAACCCCAACCATGCCCACTCCCCTGCATCTGCAACCTGACCTGCATATGCAAATCATACATATATTGGCGTCTCGTAAAGCCAGTGGGCTGTCATATTCCTACTGTACAGCCCGTCCAATAGACAACCATCGAATTACAGCTCCAAGGGGTGTGCTTAACACCACCAATGGGTTTGGTAGATTTCCCTGAGTTATAGTTGGGGTGCGGCGCGTTCATTTCTGCACGTCTTACATTAGGAATGAACCATTTTCACCGCATAGATTTCCTGCAATCGGCAACATTAATCAGAAATGCGTTCACGACAAGATTCCACCCAGTCTAAATCGGGCGAACTGTGATGTAACATTGGTCACGGGAGTCAAGGGACGTGTATTTAACCCGTTTTGAGAAAGACCGCTCTACCCGTTCTACTGCTGAAAGTGGTTGAACTCTGTTCGCTTATGTACGGCGTTGCCATGAGGCGAGTGTGGTTGTGCACGTACAAAGGATTCTGCTGCATGACAGTAGTGGAAGTCAGAACGAGAGAGCGCGAATGACACAGACTGTATAATTTGGACTAATGTGGTAGTGCAATCATGAAGTATTCAAGGCGCGTTACGGAGCATCTTCAAATCAAATCAAATTATATTTGCCACATGCGCCGAATACAACAGGTGTAGACCTTACAGTGAAATGCTTACTTACAAGCCCTTAACCAACAATGCAGTTTTAAGAAAAATAAGTGTTAAGTCAAAAATAGATAAGTAAAAAATACAAATAAAAAATAATTAAAGAGCAGCAGTAAAATAAAATAACAGTAGAGAGGCTATATACAGGGGGTCTTAAATTATTTAGAAGTCCTGTAAGACGCAAAGTGCAATGTCAGATACAATTGCCAGACACTCAATACCATTATTTAATACACGTTTTAAACAGATTGATACTCACATTTTGCTGATAGATTATATTAAATATCAAAAGTAACATGCTATAGCAGTTAGTCTAGTTTGCCTTGAGTGACGGTGGGCAATGCGTAAAACTGTTCAAAATGTGAACTTTTGACCGCGACGGGTTGGCTGGTGTCAAAGCTCACCAACAATCTAATTTTGTCGCCCCCATATATATATATAAACATATTTAAATAGTGCTGTGTGTGTCTGAAGCTTTATTGATACTGGCGCGCAGGTTCAACAACATTACCAAGTGACCTTTTTGAACTCGAAGCCAGAGCTATCAACATCAAAGGAACGGAATCTTGTCTGGTCGAAAATGCCAGACCATACCATTTACTTGATTGGATACAATCGGATACAGTGGGGACAAATTCTCCCACGATACAAAGCAACAATAAAGCAGGAATTTCTTACGCTTTAGCCTGTTATGTAACAGGCCCATCCAGGTCATGCGTCATCTTTACATAAACCAGCAGAGGGCGGCAGAGCCACATAGTATGTAGGCAACCGGTATGCCCATTATTAGTCTTATGATCAGTCCGGCTACACACACATAGCCTACAGTAAAGTTGTACTATTTTTTAAAAGATTGGATGGCATGGGTAACCTATAAACTAGCTAGCCTAATAGGCAGCATAATGGTTAGCATAGGCAGTGGCATAGCGCAGTTTCGCGGGGCCGGAAGGACCGAGCAAAAATTTTTTTAGTTTTAAAGCTAATTTCCTGTCATTAAAAAAACAAATCATGGCTTATGACATGCCCTTGCGGTGGCTGCACAGCTGTGTGCTATGTCAGTGAACTTAGTCACTGCAGTTTGAAATTGCCAAAAGACTGGGGGAAAAACTAGGGGTGAATCCTGAGTCTAAATGGCTTGATCTCCTTCATCATTTCCTTCATCTAGGCTTGGAAGAATTTGTATAAAATAGTTTGAACCAAACCTGCGTTATCTGACGAAGATGCTTTCACCTATCCAACCTAGATTGGTCTGCCACTCTACATTGCCTACTTAAATTCTGACATTTTGACGTTTCTACCGCCCCCTATATGCCAAAAGAACAGACGAAATCAGAATATACTTCATAAAAATGTGTATCAAATGGCATACATTGTATCAAATAGTGATTGAATGGATACATTTCAGGTACACCGTATATGAGTGTTACAGTGATTTGAGTGCATTTGGCTGGGTGTGGAGGGTAATGAGAAGGCCGATGTGGTGGCTAAGAGTTATGTGAGGAGAGAGGGAGTAGATATTCAGGCCCCGCTGGGATGCAGCGAAGTCAAGTCCTTGAGCCGGGCAAAAGGGCTCGATCTTTGGCAAAGGGAGTGGGATGCTAGTAGTCAAAGGAGGCTATTGTATCGACTGCACCGGTCAGTAAAGGAAGAGATGTGATGTAGGAGAGAGAAAGTTGTGTGGAATAGACTAGGGTCTATTCCACACAACAGGTCTGTGTGATGAGTGCATAGCGGAGGAAACGGTGGAAAATGTGTTGACATTTTGTGAACTGTATGATGTAGATAGGAAGAGATTGTGTGAAGGGGTTGGAGAGGCTGGTTGGGGTTTGGGTGGTGTAGTGAGAGGAGGAACAGGAATAATGAAGATAATTTCATGTGGTCCTCTGTAGCTCAATTGGTAGAGCATGGCGCTTGTAACGCCAGGGTAGTGGGTTCGATCCCCGGGACAACCCATACGTAAAAATGTATGCACACATGACTGTAAGTCGCTTTGGATAAAAGCGCCTGCTAAATGGCATATTATTATTATTATATTATTGGGCTCACAGTCCAGTACAGTAGGCGGCGGTGTATGCACCTTCAAAGTTGGATGCGATCCGCCAACCCAATCCCAAAGAAGAAAAAGAAGAGTGCGTTCGGCCATTTCCGTCACTCCAGCCGGCGGTGTCACTCAACAAAAATCGTGGACTGACAAATTACTCCAAACATGTCACTCACAACCGTTTAGGGTAGGTGTAAAAACACTTTGCACGTTCGAAGTAAACATTAACGTATGCCTGAATAATTAGCAACTGTACATTTATCAACATGAATGTCGCATGCACCGAACATAACGAGCTTGCAAGTTATATTTAGACTCAAGCTAATAATGGTAGCTAGCTAGCAGGCGAACGTTAGCAGGCTATTCTCCAAAAACAATGCAGCTAGCTAGCTAACATGCATTGGTTGCATAGCTAGCTAAGAATATTCCATAACTTGCATGTTTTCTTTGCAATAAGGTAACTAGCTAGGTAACAAAAGCTTATTTAAAAGTTAACCTAGTAACAACAGGCAACTCTTAGCGAGCATGTATGCACAGCAGTACATCACCACAGTCGCGCAGCGTGTTTGTTGTTATTGAGGAAACTGAAGCAACAACAGTTGTTAGCTAGTTAAGCTAAACAGCTACTAAAATCTAGCCATCTAATCTACGAAAACGAGAACTTGGTATACATTTTTACTTCGTTTGTCTGTCTATTGTGCTTGTTATATGGCTGGCAGACTTTAACCTTTGTGTTAAGTCTCTTGTCAATGGACTAGCTAACTGTCCACTTCAAGTGGCACTTGACTTGTGACATGCTACCTAGTTTTCATATAGCTCCTTCATGAGGTGCTAATCTGATATTTCTACAAGCGTTCTTGTTTGTAGCAGGTGTCAACACTGAGTACACAGGAAAGCTTTGTTTGCGCATGGACCAGGTGAAAAGTTGTGGCACTCATTTAAATGTAATGTATTTTCCAGCTACTGACAATTCATAAGTCTCACTTAAGCAGAGCCTTTGGGATTTAGCTAGAGATTGGTGCTGGAGGCTCTCTGATGTTCAGCCATGGACGAAGAGGACAGCCAGGATGAGCTGATCAACCGGAATGCCACCCACGGAAAAGGGAAAAGGCCAGCATTGTGGGCAATCTCAGGTATGGGCTCATATCCCCACATTTTATGACCCCCTCAAATCTTCCAATACTACTATTGGAAAGATTAGGAGAACTAACTTTGTAAGGCTGTACATTTCTTTGTCAACATCCAGATGAAGACTCAGATGAAGTTGGGGAGGAATCGGAGGAGGTAGCTTCTGACAGTGGTGAGGATGAGGAGGAGGAGGAAGAACACCTTGATGGAGAGGGAGAAGAGGAGAATGACAGTGATGGTGAGGTTATGGAGATGTAGGCCACTGTACTCATAGGAAATAATCGGTAATGGTCCATGATACATTTTTAGTACCCAAGGTATAGACCCACCACTTGAGTTTCATAACCTCTGATCAAACAACATACTTGTTCCTCAGATGAAGAAGAGGAGGATGCTGTGAAGGCGGTGGGGGGAGCGTCGGCTGACTTGGCAGGTCTGAGCTCAGACGAGGACACTGAGAAATGCCCCATCTGCCTCAACTCTTTCCACAGTCAGCCTGTGGCCACGCCAGAGAGCTGCAAGCACTACTTCTGCCTCGACTGCATCCTTGAGTGGTCCAAGGTGGGTGGGTGACATCAGAGGGGGCAAGAAGAGAGGTCAAGGCATCAAAGCCTTTTACTCACTTCGGTGTTCGTACAGACTCAAAATGATGATATTGTTGGAGGAACTAGAAGACACTAACCTGTCAAATTGATGAGCGTCACTGAAACTATGGACAGTAGACACCACACCTCAGCTTTCACTTTCAATCCTATAAACTGAGGTTTTGTTAAGACAGACAGTCATGAAATGTTAGTGTGTCCGAATGTTGTACTTCCAAGCATGTTTTTGTTCTTTCCTCAGAATGCAAACTCCTGTCCTGTGGACAGAATAGTCTTCAATAACATCTACCTGAGAAAATGTTATGGCGGGAAAGTGCAGAAAATGGTGAGTTAAAAAAGTTAAGACTTTCTCTAGTTGAATATGTCTTATATTTGCCTTTTTTGGTCATGATTTAATGTTGTGAATGTGTTGGGTGGGGGGGGGGGGGGGGGGGGTGTCTTTGAGAGGTAGAGAAGTAGCTACTACAGATGGCATGTGTATTCCTCATGAAGGGTGTTTGATTTATTTTGTGGCAAAGAACATTAGGGTCCAAACATTGTGTATCCAAATATGGATAATGCATGGGAGCTGCAGACAGTCACTTTCCTTTCATTGCTCTATGTGCGTGTTGTGATGGTTGAGTGCAGATCACAGTGCAGAAGCCAGTGAAGGAGGGCCAGGAGGAGGTGATAGACCTGGAGCTGGAACAGACCAGCTGTGAGGTGTGTGGGGGGAGCGACCGTGAAGACCGCCTGCTGCTCTGTGACGGCTGTGATGCAGGGTGAGACACAAGCTAAACACACCACCTGATCTTTCTTGGATTTGTCCTGATTAACCATGCATTCCTGATTGTATGACATCTGGAAAATCAGAATATATTTATCTCCATCTGGTCATTAAAATGAACCCTTTTGCCTTTCCCCCTGGTTTTCTATTATGTTCTGATCATATCCATGTTAATCCCTAATTCCTAACCCTTCATTTCTGTGCACCATGGAAGGTACCACATGGAGTGCCTGACCCCCCCGCTAGATGCTGTCCCTGTGGAGGAATGGTTCTGCCCAGAGTGTCAAGCCATCAACCGCCATTCAAGTAATCATACTCAGTACTATTGAGTCATTACGTCTTCCTCTGAGAAAAAAGTTTACAATGCTATTTGCAGAAAGCAGTAGTACAGGTATTGTACAGTACAGGTACAGTACCAGTCAAAAGTTTGGACACACGTACTCATTCCAGGGTTTTTCTTTATTTTTACTATTTTCTACATTGTAGAATAATAGTGAAGACATCAAAACTATAAAATAACACATATGGAGTCATGTAGTAACCCAAAAAGTGTTAAACAAATCAAAATATATTTGTTATTCTTCAAATAGCCACCCTTTGCCTTGATGACAGCTTTGCACACTCTTGGCATTCTCTCAACCAGCTTCACCTGGAATGCTTTTCCAACAGTCTTGAAGGAGTTCCCACATATGCTGAGCACTTGTTGGCTGCTTTTCCTTCACTCTGCGGTCCGACTCATCCTAAACCATCTCAATTGGGTTGAGATCGGGGGATTGTGGAGGCCAGGTCATCTGATGCAGCACTCCATCACTCTCCTTCTTGGTAAAATAGCCTGGAGGTGTGTTGGGTCATTGTTCTGTTGAAAAACAAGTGATAGTCCCACTAAGCGCAAACCAGATGGGATGGCGTATCGCTGCAGAATGCTGTGGTAGCCATGCTGGTTAAGTGTGCCTTGAATTCTAAATAAATCACAGACAGTGTCACTAGCAAAACACCTCCTCCTCCGTGCTTTACGGTGGGAAATACACATGCGGAGATCATCCGTTCACCCACACCGCGTCTCACAAAGACACGGTGGTTGAAACAAAAAATCTCCAATTTGGACTCCAGACCAAAGGACACATTTCCACTAGTCTATTGTCCATTGCTCGGGTTTCTTGGCCCAAGCAAGTCTCTTCTTCTTATTGGTGTACTTTAGTAGTGATTTCTTTGCAGCAATTTGACCATGAAGGCCTGATTCACACAGTCTCCTCCTCCTTACTTGAACTCTGTGAAGGATTTATTTGGGCTGCAGTTTCTGAGGCTGGTAACTAATGAACTTATCCTCTGCAGCAGCGGTAACTCTGGGTCTTCCATTCCTGTGGCGGTCCTCATTACATTTACGTCATTTAGCAGACGCTCTTATCCAGAGCGACTTACAAATTGGTGCATTCACCTTATAGCCAGTGGGATAACCACTTTACAATATGTTTTTTTTTTCTTTCTTTGGGGTGGGGTAAGGGGGGGGTAGAAGGATTACTTTATCCTATCCCAGGTATTCCTTAAAGAGGTGGGGTTTCAAGTGTCTCCGGAAGGTGGTGAGTGACTCCGCTCTCCTGGCGTCGTGAGGGAGCTTGTTCCACCATTGGGGTGCCAGAGCAGCGAACAGTTTTGACTGGGCTGAGCGGGAACTGTGCTTCCGCAGAGGTAGGGGGGCCAGCAGGCCAGAGGTGGATGAACGCAATGCCCTCGTTTGGGTGTAGGGACTGATCAGAGCCTGAAGGTACAGAGGTGTTGTTCCCCTCACAGCTCCGTAGGCAAGCACCATGGTATTGTAGCAGATGAGAGAAAAGAAAGAAGGGATACTGGTCTGTAGTTGTTGACATCGGAGGGATCGAGTGTAGGTTTTTTGAGAAGGGGTGCAACTCTCGCTCTCTTGAAGAAGGAAGGGACATAGCCAGCGGTCAAGGATGAGTTGATGAGCGAGGTGAGGTAAGGGAGAAGGTCACCGGAGATGGTCTGGAGAAGAGAGGAGGGGATAGGGTCAAGCGGGCAGGTTGTTGGGCGGCCGGCCGTCTCAAGGATTTCATCTGGAGAGAGTGGGGAGAAAGAAGTCAAAGCATAGGGTAGGGCAGTGTGAGCAGGACCAGCAGTGTCATTTGACTTAACAAATGAGGATTGGATGTCGTCAACCTTCTTTTCAAAATGGTTGACGAAGTCATCCACAGAGAGGGAGGGGGGAGGGGGAGGAGGATTCAGCAGGGAGGAGAAGGTGGCAAAGAGCTTCCTAGGGTTAGAGGCAGATGCTTGGAATTTAGAGTGGTAGAATGTGGCTTTAGCAGCAGAAACAGAGGAAGAAAATGTAGAGTGGAGGGAGTGAAAAGATGCCAGGTCCGCAGGGAGTCTAGTTTTCCTCCATTTCCGCTCGGCTGCCCGGAGCCCAGTTCTGTGAGCTCGCAATGAGTCGTCAAGCCACGGAGAAGGACGGGAGGACCGAGCCGGCCGGGAGGATAGGGGACATAGAGAGTCAAAGGATGCAGAAAGGGAGGAGAGGAGGGTTGAGGAGTTAGAATCAGGAGATTGGAGGGAGAAGGATTGAGCAGAGGGAAGAGATGATAGGATGGAAGAGGAGAGAGTAGCGGGAGAGAGAGACAGTTTCATCATAGCGCTTGATGGTTTTTGCGACTGCACTTGAAGACACTTTCAAAGTTCTTGAGATTTTCTGTATTGACTGACCTTCATGTCTTAAAGTAATGATGGACTGTTGTTTCTCTTTGCTTATTTGAGCTGTTCTTGCCATAATATGGACTTGGTCTTTTACCAAATAGGGCTATCTTCTGTATACCCCCCCTACCTTGTCACAACACAACTGATTGGCTCAAACGCATTAAGAAGGAAAGAAATTCCACAAATTAACTTTTAGGAAGGCACACCTGTTAATTGAAATGCATTCCAGTTGACGACCTCATGAAGCTGGTTGAGAGAATGCCAAGAGTGTGCAAAGCTGTCATCAAGGCAAAGGGTGGCTATTTGAAGAATCTCAAATATATATATTTTTTGATTTGTTTAACACTTTTTTGCTTACTACATGATTCCATATGGGTTATTTCAGAATTTTGATATCTTCACTATTATTCTACAATGTAAAAATAAAGAAAAAACGTTGAATGAGTAGGTGTGTCCAAACTTTTGACTGGTAGTGTAAGTCCTTTTACCAAGATCCCAGAGCTCATCAATGTTCCTGCTCCTCAGGGGGTTCAGCGGAGCAGAGCGACGCGGAGAGTCTGAGCAGCTCCCGTCCTACCACCAGCCACTCCCGCACCACCACGACGGGCCCCACCCGGGCCATCGCCCGCACCCAGCAAAGCGAGAGGGTCCGCGCCAGTGTCAACCGCCACCGCATCACCCAGGCACGCACTGCACAGGTTTGGCATGAGGCGTGTTGCTTCCTACTGGCTTCTTTGTTCTCCCTCACTGCACTCCGCTCCTCACCACTAGTGTCAGCATCCCTTACTCTGTAGCACCGAAGATTGTTTAGTGAGCAGCATGATAATGTACTTACAGTATGAAAAATTATGTTACCCATGTTTCCCTCCTGGGTTTTGAATTTGTATTTATTATGGATCCCCTCTTCCTGGGGTCCAGCAAAATTAAGGCAGTTCGTACAATTTAAAAAACATTACAATACAGTCACAGATTTCACAACACACTGTGTGCCCTCAGGCCCCTACTCCACCACTACCACATATCTACAGTACAAAAATCCATGTGTACGTGTGTGTATAGTGCGTATGTTATCGTGTGTGTATGCATGTGTCTGCGCCTATGTTTGTGTTGCTTCACAGTCCCTGCTGTTCCATAAGGTGTTTTTTTAATCTGTTTTTTTAAATCTAATTTTACTGGTTGCATCAGTTACTTGATGTGGAATATAGTTCTATGTAGTCATGGCTCTATGTAGTACTGTGCGCCTCCCATAGTCTGTTCTGGACTTGGGAACTGTGAAGAGACCTCTGGTGGCATGTCTTGTGGGGTATGCATGGGTGATCGAGCTGTGTGCCAGTAGCTCAAACAAGACAGCTCGGTGCACCCAACATGTCAACACCTCTCATAAACACAAGTAATGATGAAGTAAATCTCTCCTCCACTTTGAACCAGGAGAGATCAACATGCATATTATTAATATTAGCTCTCTGTGTACATCCAAGGGCCAGCTGTGCTGCCCTGTTCTGAGCCAATTGCAATTTTCCTAAGTCCTTTTTTGTGGCACCTGACCACACGACTGAACAGTAGTCCAGGTGTGACAAAACTAGGGCCTGTAGGACCTGCCTTGTTGATAGTGCTGTTAAGAAGGTAGAGCAGCGCTTTATTATGGACATACTTCTCCCCATCTTAGCTACTGTTGTATCAATATGTTTTGACCATGACAGTTTACAATTCAGGGTTACTCCAAGCAGTTTAGTCACCTCAACTTGCTCAATTTCCACATGATTTATTACAATATTTAGTTGAGGTTTAGGGTTAAGTGAATGATTTGTCCCATATACAATGCTTTTAGTTTTAGAAATATTTAGGACTAACTTATTCCTTGCCACCCACTCTGAAACTAACTGCAACTCTTTGTTAAGGTTGCAGTCATTTCAGTTGCTGTAGTAGCTGACATGTATAGTGTTGAGTCATCCGTATACATAGACACTCTGGCTTTACTCAAAGCCAGTGGCATGTCATTAGTAAAGATTGAACAAAGTAATGGGCCTAGACAGCTGCCCTGGGGAATTCCTGATTCTACCTGGATTATGTTGGAGAGGCTTCCATTAAAGAACACCCTCTGTGTTCTGTTAGACAGGTAACTCTGTATCCACAATATAGCAGGTGGAGTAAAGCCATAACACATACGTTTTTCCAGCAGCAGACTATGATCGTTAATGTCAAAAGCCGCACTGAAGTCTAACAAAACACCCCCTACAATATTTGTATCATCAATTTCTCTCAGCCAATCAGTCATTTGTGTAAGTGCTGTGCTTGTTGAATGTCCTTCTCTATAAGCATGCTGAAAGTTTGTTGTCAATTTATTTACTGTAAAATAGCATTGTATCTGGTCAAACACAATTATTTCCAATAGTTTACTAAGGGTTGGTAACAGGCTAATTGGTCGGCTATTTGAGCTAGTGAAGGGGGCTTTACTATTTTTAGGTAGCGGAATGACTTTTGCTTCCCTCCAAGCCTGGGGGCACACACATTCTAGTAGGCTTAAATTGACAATATGGCAAGTAGGAGTGGCAATATCATCCGCTATTATCCTCAGTAATTTTCCATCCAAGTTGTCAGACCCCGGTGGCTTGTCATTGTTGATAGACAACAATAATTTTTTCACCTCTTTCACACTCACTTTACGGATTTCAAAATTACAATGCTTGTCTTTCATAATTTGGTCAGATATACTTGGATGTGTAGTGTCAGCAATTGTTGCTGGCATGACATTCTTAAGTTTGCTTATCTTGCCAATGAAAAAATCATTAAAGTAGTTGGCAATATCAGTTGGTTTTGTGATGAATGAGCCATCTGATTCAATGAATGTTGATACGTGTATGATGGGTATTTCTATGTAGTATTGTATTACATAACATTTGATGAATGATGACTATGTTATTTTGTCTCGTTTAAATGCGCTACTTGCACCAAGTAACATTTGACATGCAGGAATAGAATAGAGAGTCAGAGAGAGGTGGCTCTTTAGAGTGATGCTGCCTCTCATCAGACGGCTGTGAAGGTCATGTCAACTAAAGCATGTCTATAGACAAAATAGACAACAGAGAATCAGTAGAGTGATGCAGTGTACCTCTGGTCTCAGATTGCCCCCAGTTTTCTGATGCCACAGTCCACCTGGCTGGATGACACTATCAACGCAGTAGTGGCAGGACTCAACACAGCTGTGTACATACGGGACCTCACACCTCGCGCTCCATCCAGCCGACGACGCAGGACAGGTGAACACACACACACACACACACACACACACACACACACACACACACACACACAACCTATCTGGGTTGTTAAAAGAGATGCATTTGCTCTGTGCCCACAGTGAAGCGCAGGAAAGGCAAGAGTAAGAGGTCATCGCCTGCCACGGGTGGTAAGGGCAAAGCTGCAGGCACTGGGGTGAAGAGGAGGAAACGGAGAGTGAGGAGGACCAAGTCTAGAAGGAAACTGGTGAGACTTTACATTTAGCAAGTATAGCAGGAAATGTATAGTACCTACAACAGAATGATAGGAGTGCTCATGTGCAATCTGTCTGTATGTATGTTTGCGTGTGTGTTTCTAGGTGGTGAAGAAGGAGCCTACGTCTCGTGGTCGTATAGCCCATAGCCTTGGGATAGGGAAGCCCAAACAGGGCTCGTCCCTTCCCTCTGTGTACCGGCCTACAGAAACCACTCTGGGCAGTATGAGAGCTGACATAGGAGCTGCTTCGCTCTCTGTCTATGGAGACCCCTATGACCTGGACCCCTTCACTGACAGGTCTGTCTCAGGCAGAACTCACAACCATAAGATAACGTAGTACTTTATTAATCCAGAGAGTGAAAATCTCCAGCTAATGCTGGCACAACACTGAACATATAGACAACATAATACTTTTAAACAAAACCATGAATTAAAAAAATTTAAAAAACTCAGAAAATAACAGGCAATTGTGGAATGGACCCCAACCCTGTTCTGAATGTTGATTGGTTGTTGATCCCACCCCAGGAATGAAGAGGAGGAAGAGCATGCCTTGGCCACAACATCACTGCTGGAGGCCAAGAGGCGTGGCTTATCTCGCTCCGCCCTCCGCTCGCACCAGCCTGTGGCTCGACCAATCACTGCTGGCCTCTCCAGGTACCCCTTCTCATCTCCTCCCACGTTATATTGTTATGTAGCTCACATCCTTCAATATGGTACATGTCTGACCTGTGGTTGCCATGGTGTTGTAGGCGGGGCCCAAGCCTGCTCCAGGTGGAGGAGGTGGCCCCAGTGCCTGACCTACTGGGCAGCATCCTATCAGGACAGAGCATGCTGCTGATGGACAGCTCAGACGTGGTCATCAACAGAGACGGATCTCTCAAGGCTACCAAACCAGGTGGGCTGCTAGGGTTTTTTCCTTTCTTTAGTTCAATCTCTTGTCCTTTCTCTTTCTTTCTGTTAATATTTTTCTTGTTCTGTATCTAATACCTGGCTATTCAAGAACTAGTGAACGTTTTATTTAGGGCTGACCCCATTTAGTCGACTGGTTGATTGTTTGGTCGATAGGCTGTTGGTCGACCAAGATTTCTTTAGTCAAGTGGTCGCAATTTTATTTTATTTTTCATGGCGCACAAGACACCACTGATTTGCGCCTGTCTCAGTGGACTAATCCATTACGGAGGCCACGGGGACGGCACAGTCCATCACTCTAAGACGTGATACTGAAATTGTATATGGTTATATTATGTAAAAATAATGGTGCAACACTAATAAATCTAATATTATTTTATAACAAATGTGCTTTCTCCCGCATTGGGTATGGTCGCTGTCCACGGTTCTGAAACATAATCTTCAGTGAGCTGTAGAATTGCCGCCTTTCCCTATGTTGCTTTGTGTATATTACCTAAATTAACCAGCATATTGGGATTGAGAGCAACAAAACACCACATCTGTCATTTTAGTCCCATCCGAATCTGCCATGTCAGTAATTTGTACATGGCAGGAGAGTAACAATTCCAGCCAGAATAACCTACGTTTTTTTGGCGAACTCCAATGTCTGAGTTTGACAGGTGTTGCTCACGGTTTGAGCAAGAAAACAATAACTGATTCGATAAATTGAACGAAGTGCTGCGCATAGCCTATATATGAATCAACTTTCACAGTGAATGCTTTTGTTCATATGTTTTGTGCGTATGAATAGAATATTGCCAAATGCATCAGTAAAAATGATTGCGCCTATTTAATGTAACCCTTGCTGTTAATAGATCGCAAAGCAGCATACAACTGACCTAAACGTTTGGGAATGATAAGTTCACTTTCGCATCCATAGCCTTAAAACGCATCTCAGGTGCAAGTGCGCGGTTTAGCTCACATCTGAAGGTTGTGGGGCATTTAGTGCGTCTACTGCAGATCGCTAAAATATCCTATGATCACACTTCCTCAATGCAAATAATTTGGCAACACTATACCAAAGATGGTTTGGTATGGTTTAGAAACGTGGGAACCAAGCTCGAGTTATCAGTGTAGCCCTGTTATCGCCTCGACTTGTTGAAATATCTTCAGGCCTAGAAAAAACCTCCACCCTCAATAACTGTCAATTTATTGGAAAAAAGAATTACAGGGGGCAATTTAGAAAAAATTAATCCTGTCCGGCTCGTCCTCTGGAATAACGGAGATTCTGGGGTAATAATTACATAGTAAAAAAGTTCTCTATTAATACGAGTCGCGTGCGAATAGGGCTTAGCCTAATTGTCTAAGAAAATTGAGGAGAGCGCAAACCCCAACTTAATTAGGTCTATAATCTTCTTATTGTTATTATTACAATCATTTATGATCATCATTATAATAAGTAATGTCGTTATCATTAGTAGGCTTTGTACAGTAACCTTGTATAACACCATTGAGCTTTAGGCCTAAGAGCGCGTCCTGTTTAGTCTTAATACCGTAACTTACTTAGGCTTATATTTCAATATGTAGGCTACTGTATCAATCAATCATTCATTCATTCATTCATTCATTCGTTCATGCCATCACACAGCATACGAGACATTCAATCATTTTAGTTTTAAAATTAAATAACAAAGGGAGCTTTGAATAAATAAACCGCAGTTCACGAATGCATGCAACTGTTTTTAGTATGCTGTAATAAAGGCTTTATATATATATTTTTTACATTAGAACAGACACTAGTACACTTATTTATTTAATGTTAACACTGTTCCAAATGGTCAGAAAAAATTATAATATTGTAATCTAACAGCAACTGTTTGGCACACAATGCTCACTCAACGCTTGCTCCTATACCCTCCTTTTTCTTCATCTCCAGAAGTTTCCACAACTAAGTCAAATGTCTTCCACAGATCTGACTTCCCCTTTCCCTCCTGAGCAACCAGTAAACTGCCTGTTTCAAGTTTCTTTTTCACGTCCTCCGCATCCATTTTGCTGTTGACATTACTGTGTTCGGAGTTTGTTATAACCAATTTATTGATGTGATTATGATAGGCTATAGGTCAGGCCCTATTGGTCACATGCATGTGACGCTTACATGTTTCACGTAAAGAGAGCAAGGGTTGAGGGAATAGGGAATATTTTCCTAAACAAATTAGGAATTTCGGTAAAATAACTTTTCAGTCAGAAATGTGTAAGAAACTAAATGGCTGAAATTATGTTGCAGCTTCAGCACGGACAGCGTGCTGTGCTGTGCTGTGCTGTGGTGCCTTTTCACTGCAGTAGGGAGGAGAGCGAGACAACGTGCGCCAGTCACACAGGCACTCGCTGTCATTCTTTTTAACAAAGTGTGAACATCGGGCTCTTTCTTGAGTCATTTGTGTGTCTTAATTATTTAATCAAACAGTGTGCTTAAAGCATCAGACAAGCTCAGTGCATATGTAGTTGGTTTTATTCAAACACATAGGGTGTGTCTGTCTATATCTGGAAAAATACGTTTAAACATTTAGACCAATTGATTGGTTGAAGTAACAGGACGACTCTCGTCGACCAAGATTTTTTATAGTCGGGGACAGCCCTAGTTTTATTGTTTGTCAACCATTGATTTTGAAGTCTGTTGGATTCTGTGTTGTACAGCAGAAAAGGGTTAGTAAATGGTTGTCTTCTGTTTGTATTGTAGTGGGTGTGTCGTCTTCGTCCAGGCTGGGCAGCAGTAGGAGCAGCAGCTCTGGTGAATCAGTAACCCAGCACCACTCAGGGATGTCCCCTAACCCAGCAGCAGCCAGCTCTCTCTCTCTCCCCACTAACGGAGACCTGGTGGTGGGACCCTCCTGTAGTCCCCTGAACAGGCCCTCTTTCTCCCTCAGCTCCCCAGGGCCCTGCCTGTCCCCTCTCACCCCCTCATCCCCATGCCCAGCCAGCCACAGCCAGACTCCCCCGCCTCCCAGACCCAGCCCTAGTCCTGGACACAGCCACTGGGGGGCCACTGGTGTACGACTCCCCCATGGGACCCAGAGGGAAGCCACCTCTACCTCCCCTCCTACCCCAGACTTTCGGTCACGAGGGAGGGAGACCGTGCCACCACAGCCCCAGGCTAAGAAGGCCGCCCCTAAACCAGTATGGGAAGCACCAGTATCGGTGCTTCCCAGGATACCAAAGATAAAACGGGAGAGTGGTGTGCTAACGAATGGCAGCGCCAGTAGAGGGGGGAGTAGTAGCAGTGCTAATGGTAGTGGTAGTAATGGCTTCCCTGAGGCCTGTGTGAACAGCCTGGGTGGTAACAGGGGTAGGCAGCCAAGTGTGGACAAGCAGCAGCAGGGCAGGACAGAGGGCCAGACCCAGAGACAGAGACCAGAGCGAGCAGGCTCTTCGTCAGCCTTCTCCAACTCCTTTTCCTCTTCCTCTGGTTCCACTGCCAACCCGGCATTGGCATCCACGGTGTGCTTCCGGATCAACGCCAGTGGCAATGCGTGGCACGCCCGGCAGCTTAGCAACGCCTCTGCAATGGTTCCCGCCGGCAACAGTGAAGAACCACTGTCCACGGAAGAAGAGGAGGCGAAGAGGAGAAGAGAGGAGCGCAGCAGCAGGCCCCTGACCACCTCACACACACGGGTCAAAGAGGAGGAGGGGGATATATACGACCCTTTCCACCCAACAGGCTCAGACTCCAATGCCTCAGAAAGCGAAGCAGAGAGCCATGCTGGGGGGAAACCATACATGGCGCACAAGGAAGGTGCCAGCCACCAGGTGAAAGCTGAGGCACTGGAGAGTAGTGTGTCACTGGAGAGGGATGAGGGCTCAGGAGAATGTCTGGATGTGAAGAGCGAGCCAGGCACTGCGAAGCCTGGTCACGGCCCACACAACACACCCAGGTCTGGGATGACTGGCACCAGCACACCCCTGTCCCAGAGCCAGGTCCCTGTGAAGAGGGAGAGGAAAGAGCCAGGGGGTGAGAATGGGCAGACAGGCAACAGTAGAGAGCCCCAGAACCAGAAAACGGCTCCTTTCTCCTCCAGCTCAGCCTCCAGCCACCACAGCAACAGGATGGTGAAGACTGAGATCAAGTCAGAGCCCCAGGACAGCCCCCCCAGGTCCCCATCCAGGTCTAAATCACACTCCAGGCCCTCAGGCCAGGGGAGGAAAACATCCAAAGGTGGGGGGTCTTCCACGGAGCGGCGGTCTGCCTCAAATAGCCCGGAGGCAGGCAGGAAGGGAGGAGACAAGGCCCTGGAACAGCGAGGGAGGAAGAGAGGAGACGAGGGGGGTAGGAGAGGAGAAGAAGAGGGGGGAGAGAGGAGGTCCAGGCGTTCGGAATCGAGGGAGAGGAGACGGCTTCGTTCCCCATCAGACAGCTCCACCTCTGATGCCTCTGAGAAGTCTCGCAAGATGACGAGACGGTCACGCTCGCGCTCCAAAGACAGGAGGCGCTCCAGGTAATAATGTAATTCTGTGATAATGTCAATTCTGTGTGCAGTGATTTTGTGGTCTTTTAATAATAATATAAAATGTATTCTAGTGTATACTGTTAATATAATAGCTAATATTATTATTTTGATTTAGGTCGAGGTCAGGGTCGGGCTCTAGCAGCAGAGAGCAGTCCAAGAGTAGGAAGCAGAAGAGATGGAGCAGGGAGAGGAACGACAGCAGAGGGAGTGAGAGAGAGAAGGGTCGGCCATCAAAGGACAAGAAGCGAGGTCGCTCGCAGTCTCGCTCGCGGTCCAGGTCCAGGGAGAGGAGGAAAGACCACTCACGATCACAACCATCGTCCTCTGGGTCAAAAAACTGGGTTGAGGTGCGGTCAAAAGACAAGAAGAGGCCGAGGTCCAGGTCGCAGTCCAGAGAGAGGAGGAAAGAAGAGGGGTCGTCACAGGGCACACACAGACCACCAGGGTCTTCCTCAACCACCTCCTCCAAAGAGCTAAAAGAACAGACAGAGAAGATAAAGGAAAAAGTGCTTTCCTGTGTCGCTCTAAAAGAGGAGAGAGTGGCTAAAGAAGAGAGAAAAGAGCGAGAGATCAAAAAACAGATGCCTTCCTCTTCTTTAGGACTCAAACCTCTCTCTGTCTCCGAGGTGAAAAAGGAGAGTGACGGCAATGAATTTAGAACAGAGAAGCACGCCTCTCTCTCAGCAAAACTGCTCAAGGAGTCTAAGCTGCTCAAAGAAATAAAAAAAGAGATACCGTCTGCCTTTGATATGTTCGAAGAATCACTGGATAGTAAACCAATCAAGAAAGAAAAACCTCTGTCAATGTTCAATGAGTTCAAGGACTTGCAAGAGCACAAGGAGATCAAAAAAGAAAAACCTTCCCCACTCATAAACGAGGCGTGCGCCCTCTCCACCTCAGACGTAACAGATCAAAAAGACCAGGCATTAAAGGAAACCATCAAGACTGAGCCCATCTGGCCTGAGCTGCCTCAACACCTGACCTCCATCATCCCTGCTCCCCCCACAGGCCAACCCAGCCCCAGCTTCTCAACACTCCGCACCAACCCTGTCCCTGCGCCTCCTCAGGCTGCAGTGATTACAGCCGGCCAGCAGGTGGCCCCATCCCTGCCTCTTCCAGTACCAAAGGCCCTCACAGAGACCCCTCCATCTGTCCAACCCATCTCAGTGAACCCAGTGAAGGAAGAGGTAGAGGAGCATTCAGACTATGAACTTGATGACATGGACGTGGACATGATGCTGGACAGTCTGGACTCTGTGAAGAGTGAGAAAGCAGAGCCAGGAGGAGAGAAAGGGGAGGCTGAGGTCAAAGAGGAGAAGGAGGGAGAAGGGGAGGATAAGGAGGGGAAGACTGGGGGAGAACCAGTGGCAGTCACGCCAGGCGCTAAGGCCAAACCCTCGGTGAAGAGGGTCACCTGGAACCTGCAGGAACCAGATGGACCACAGCCAGAGAAGACTGGGAGTAGTGTGTATTATTGTACATTTTCAAATGTTCTACGTTTTTTATTCTTATTATTGTCGAGAGGTGAACCTCCATGTAAGCATTTCATTGTACTGTGTACACCAAGTGTTCCTGTGCATATGACAAAGAAACTTAATTTACCACAATCTGGATTGACCCAATCAGAGCCCTTACGTGTTGTATTACATAAATATACTTTTTCTAGTCAGCTGTTTGACTCAGATTCAGAAACTACCTCTTATTCACATAACACAGAGAGGGTCATAGCTTGTGTGTTTTTTTTTCTCTGTCTCAGAGCTGGCCCTCTACAAACTGAAGCTCAAACAGGAGGGAGCTCGCAGACCTGCCTCCTCCGCCCAGGCCTCCAATCAGGTACGGCTCAGCCACCTCCTCACACAAACCCTCTCCTTACTTCTCAGAAACATAGATGCATTAGGTTGGCCTTGCCTACTTACCTAGATAACTATTTTGTGCGTAGCTTCAGGCCTCTACCGCTGTATGCTGCCTTTCTTTCCTGCTAATATGTACACTGAACAAAAATATAAACGCAACATGTAAAGTGTTGGTTTCATGAGCTGAAATAAAAAAAACTAAAATGTTCCATACACACAAAAGCTTATTTCTCTCAAATGTTGTGCACAAATTTGTTTACATCCCTGTTAGTGAGCATTTCTCCTTTGTCAAGATAATCCATCCACCTGACAGGTGTGGCATATCAAGAAGCTGATTAAACAGCATGATCATTACACAGGTGCAGCTTTTGCCACAGATGTCTCAAATTCTGATTGGCTGGGCCTTGCTCCCCAGTGTGTGGGCCTGGCTGCCAAGTGGTGGGCCTATGCCCACCCATGGCTGCACCCCTGGCTAGTCATGTGAAATCCATAGATTAGGGCCTAATTTATTTATTTCAATTGACTGATTTCCTTATATGAACTGTAACTCAGTAAAATCTTTGAAATTGTTGCATGTTGTGTTCATTTTTTTGTTCAGTATATTTATGATCAATGTTCCCTCTCATTTTTTTCGGCCCTGAGCAAATTTGAGGTCTGCTGAGGGCAAACTTGAACATTGTGAAAATTCTGTGCAACATCTAGCGCGCGTTTACCGTGAACACTGAGGCTGTACCCGCTTTAAGTTAGTTTTAACAGTGGCCAAGTAGGCTACTATGGCTATTTGATCATAATGTAGGCCTACCAGAGTGGCCTACCATCAAAAACAATGGACAAAATGCATCCCATAACATTTTAACATGGAAATAGTTGTTCTATCATTCAGCCTACAGTAGCAGCCAATGTGTTCAATGTAGGCCTACATTTCATGATACTTTTGAGAAAAAAAACATGCAGGGCTTGACCATTAACCTGTTTATCCACTTGTCCTTCAGACAAGGGGGTGACTGAAAATGTTGTTGTGTTGTTTGATGCAAGAAACCACTTTACAAAATAAAATGTATTATTATTCCCATACCATTATTACAGAGAATCAGACAAATTATGCTACGCTCTGCCTATTGGCTACTTAACTTATTCAAGCCTGTTTCAAAATACAACACTTCCCCTTTAACTTGCTTTTCAAAGATGTCTAGAAATGTACACTTTTGTGCTCTTGTAGGAAGAAATCAGTCCCCTTTTGCTGACTACAAATGATCTATAACTGGGCTAATAACTCACTAACTAGCAAAGGATATGAACAAAATGTGCACACGTGGCTACATGCAGTTCTTGCTTTGATCTCAAAACAAGCGCATACCACAGCTGTAAACACAGTCCAGTTCAAAGGAAATGGCACAGATCCATATACGGCAATGGTTTATTTGCATATAGGTCTACAGCAGGTCTGATTGGTTATGCCGCACGGGTCTGTGTTGAGGATGGGCTGAGTCGTGCGCAATAGAATCCTACTCCGAAGCGTTCTGCCAACAGCAAAATCTCTTGCATATATCATTTGTTTCGGTATGTTGCATTGAAAGTGGCTAATATTGCGTTGATTCGATCACAATTGCCACAGTAAAGGGAAACTCTAGAAAGTTGAGTGAGTTCAATATCGTGCTTCTCTCCTTGCGCTCTAGTCCCGGGGGAGCTGTGTGGCAGTCTCGGGGCTACTGTGCGCCTGAGCAGGTGTGCAGTTTAGAGGGAACATTGGTTATGATCAATCAGTATGGAATTCACTATGAAATGGCACCTAGTCACGGCATCATACTGCCGGCCGGTCGGTCATGTTAATGATATCAAGTAGACGTTCTGTGGATCTTTACAGATATCTGTGATTTAGTGCTCCAAAACATTCATCACAAAATGTTCCTGTAATTAACATGCACCTCTCCTAAAAGGCCACAGGGTGGCAGACTGTCTTTTTTGACTCGGAGAGCAGTTGTTGTGGCTGTCAGCGTAAAGCCAGTGCAGATCACATGGGCTAATAGAGAGATCATGTGACAGAAACTGGAACTGATAAAGGAGCGTTTTACTGTGAAATGAAAGTAGAAGCCTTGCTGGGAAAATCGAAACTGTAGAATGGAGGACTGTTACACGTCAGAGGCTTTTATGTGCTGGTAATACCATAGCAAAATAACACATATTCCTGCTAGGTCTCGATGAGACAATAGATGGTTGAGATTTATGCCCATGTTTATTTCATTAGTTGGGTAATATTGCTGTTGTGATTTAAGAACATGAAATACAAAAGTTACAATTAAAACGTTAATATTGTACTGTAATTTACCATCACCTCAAATCTTTGCGTAATTCTTTCCTTAACATAAATGCACAATTTACGTGAACATTTAATTTGCGCACATAATTTCAAATTGGGATTCAATCCATAGTCAGTAAACCTTCCCACCCATAGGAGGCTGCCTTGGGTGCTACGTCACTCACTGACCCAAAGGTCCAGAGCACCAAGAGGGGCAGTGTGTCTGTATTGCTGCCCAGTGAGCCCTCCAGCTCCAACAGTCTACCACAAGTAGGGCAGAGGGAACCCAATGAAGCCCTGGGAGAGGATGATGCTTCCAGAAATGATAATGTGAGTCTGAGAGAAAGGAAAATTATGTTCTTCAAATGTATCAATGCACACTTGGGTGATATCTGTGTGTATACAGTGCATTCGGAAAGTATTCAGACCCCTTGACTTTTTCCACATTTTTGTTACATTACAGCCTTATTCTAAAATGGTTTAAATTATTTTTTTGCCCCATCAATGTCCATTGTTTTTGCTTTGCAATTATGGGGTATTGTGTGTAGATTGATGAAGAAGAAATAGAATTGAATCAATTTTAGAATAAGGCTGTAATATAACAAAATGTGGAAAAAGTCAAGGGGTCTGAATACTTTCTGAATGCACTGTATACATGTCCTTGTATACTTCTTGCCAACAAATGACCAGTCCCCTTCATAGCGTAGTAGTGTATATTGACTAATCCCCGGTGTCTATCCTCAGTACATAAAAAAGATTCACATGCAGGAGAGAGCCATAAAGGAGGTGAAGCTGGCTATCAAGCCCTTCTACCAGAAGAAAGACATCACTAAGGATGAGTACAAGGAAATCGTACGCAAGGCTGTCCAGAAGGTACACCTGATCATTGGCTCAAAGTGTTGTCATGTGGTTTGCAATTCCGAATTAAAATGAGTTTTTATGGGAACTGGAGAACATGCACATAATAATGAAACCAAAGATGTTTATCATGAGTCAATCTTTGGATCAAGTGTCTTTCATTGGTTGATGTAGGGGCTTGTCCCAACCTGTGCAATATGAGAGTTTAGATTTACGAGAGTCTTCCACTAATTCTTGCAGTACATGATGAAAGACAGCCATTGTGTTTCACTGTGGATGTAAATAAAATAATTTGACTGTTTGTAAATTGCTGACCTAACTTGCATGTGATTTATTTTCCATTGTGATTCCAGGTCTGCCACAGTAAGAGCGGGGAGATCAACCCAGTGAAAGTGGCCAACCTGGTCAAAGCCTACGTGGACAAATACAAACACGCCAGGAAACACAGGAAAGGAGAGGATGGAGGGAAGACAGAGGAGGCAGAAACTGATAGAACAAACGATCCAGAGACCCCATGAGGACCCCCCATTCCTCCACATGCACTGGATACTCAGCCATTCTCAGCCAGTTTCACTCATTTTACGATTTCTGTTATCAAATCATGTCACAGGTTTTTAGGGGACTCAAGCAAGGGCTTAGAGAAATAGTGCCTCCAAATTTGAGGTTTTCTTCATTGTTTTTTTTGGTGTGATAAAGTTATGTTCTGTCCATAGTAATTCACTGTTTCACAAAATCATGGAAGAGCCGTTTCGTTGAAAGAAGATGTGGAAGTAACTTTTAGTGCACCCTATGTGGTCTGGCACTTTGATTACCACTGACTGCCAAGCATCTGTTTTGAATTGAATTTATTTCAAGGTTCACCCAGGGTCAGACCATGTAGATGTACTTTGTTGGTCTAGCTTGGTCTACTCTGTACGTGGCTAGCACAGAGATTCTGTCTTAAAGAGACAGCTCTCAGTCAGATAGCCTTTCAATCAAGAGAGGCTGAGGAATAATGTGAAGCAGCTATTTCTGCAGGCAAAATCTCTGAATAGAAGCAGTGCTGGCTTTTTATTTTTTATCTTTTCGGTGGTAGAGGGGTATTTATCTGTGGCATGAGTCCTAATTTTTTGGTGTGAGAAAGCTTAATGCCGTCATTGACATAGAAGAAGAAAAGAACACCACAATGTAGAAAAATACCAGTATGTAGTAGAAAATAATAGAAAATAAGAAAAAGTATAAACAATTATTTCTGATTTTAGATTTGGTGTAAATATTGATTTTGAATTATCAGTATGTACGCCCTTCCAGTTGAGTTAGCTGCCTACCGGGAATTCACAAATGTATATTGTGAATGGTTCTGGATTAAGTTTGTTGTTTTTGTGAATGTTTCTGTGCTATGGGACTGTGGGTCCGATGGAGTGCTGGTTGACCATACAGTATGTGGCTCTGCACATAGCGGCTGTCCTCCTCTGGTGCTCAGATTGTCAATGCTCCTCTGGTCTCTATTGGCAGAATACTAACTTGAGATGAGGGCACACAACTCAGACTTCCTCAAAAAATCTCCCATTGATAATCAATGCATGGTTGTTGAGAAAGTTTCAGTTGTGTAAATTTTCTCAAATTTGGACTAGGCTCAAAGTGTCTACTCGTTTTAATCCTACCTTTCCATCAGGTTTTGATTAAGACAGGAAACCAGGTGAGGTGACTGCAATCATCAGCTTTAGTTTATCAATTGACCAGTCATTTGCCAATGATTAGTGAAAACCAGCAGACACTGGAGTTTATATACATTTTGTGAATTCTGCACCTTCACCTGTGTTTTATCTTAGTTTATAGGTAGTCTAGAACAATTGGCTAGTCCTGTTGTATATTTGTAGCAGGCTAACTAGTCAAATGACAAAGGATATCATGCCTGTCTTGCAGCCTAATCAATGTTTTTCCCATTTCTTCACACATTCACACTTGATTATGAACTCAGCTAGTTGCTCACATTTCTTCTGAAAGATTTAGTTTGATTCCAAAAGCTTATTTTCCAGTTTGAATAATGAGCAATAACCCTTATTCTTGACACTGGTTGGCCACAGTTTGTTCTTTGTCGCAAACAAACTAGATTTGTTTTAGTCCTTGAAAATATTGCCACACTTGTAGTTGCGAGCTTGGAAATTGTTAATCAAGTAATAGTCCATAATCCTAGTCAAGGCCAGGATGTTTTTGATGACCACATGACCTGACAAAAACTCCTAACAAGGGGCCAAAGGATTTCCTAGTCAGGTGGAGTGGGTGGGAGAAACCCCTGGCCCTAGTCATACTGTATGCAATTCATGCCATCCGTAATCATGGTTTCTCATTGGTGGAAGTGGTTGGCTTCCTTCCTGCTAATGAATACTTCTTACAACTGTACCTGGAAACGGTTGGCCTTCTCTACTCATTTTCAAATACTTTATTTGTAGAAAGGTGCGTAAAAGATATCCCTGTCTTTTCCTTTTTGTCATTTGCATGTGCCCATTCTGTGTGTGTAGTAGAATGGGTGTGTGTGGACCTGCTTTGGACTGGGCCCTGTTTTGTCCTACACCTATATTCAAATTTCAAATCGATCCCTAGATTATATCCCCTTGGCACTTCTGTAGACCTGAAAGGATTGGATAGGTGTATCAGAGGGCCAGATGGAGTTATTACCAAATTGTGTATACTGTACCTACAGTATCTGATCCTTTCAGATCTACTTGAAGTGTCTAGGGGTTGATTGGAATTGAGCATACGTACTTTGTTTTTGAGAGGAGTGGGGAAAGGAAATGCTTGAGTTAAATGTATTTTGTTTGTGTTTCTCCATTTACTTGATCTTCTAGGACAAGTGGTTTAGAGGGAACACAAAATTATAACTAAGTAAAATAAAATACAATATTGTCCCAATTTACTTTTTTTGTGGTGTTCATGTTTTACTAATATGGAAAATTAAGGGGTGGGGGCTAAGATATATTTTGTGACTGAATGGGCAACATTTTGGAAAGGAACCCACTAACATAATATTTAACAGGATATTACTCATCTTTACAGAAGCAGTTAATCTCAAACTGTGATGAAATTATGAGATAAGGCTGGATATTTCACCAGGGTGGGGGTTATATTAATTCAATTTCAATTCCTGTCAATTGTTAAAGCTAGAATCTGCAGTTGCTACATCAATTTTTGGACGTATAAATTAATTATATATATAAACTCATTGTTTCTTGAAGAATATAACTTATAAATGCCTCATGAGCTTAGTTCAACTGTCGTACCCCATCAGAACCCAAAATATAAGCTTGTTTTACTCCAATGTAAACAAACACTGTATAGCCTCAAAACATGGTTAAAACTATCATTTTGATATCATGGATGGTCATCCATAGCTCTCTGTCTATGAATTTGAGAGTGGTTACATTTCTCCAGGCCCATCCTTCAGCTTTTTACCAAAACGGGCGGTGTGTCCCTTTATCGTTTCAACTGTGCATTCTAGCTTTAAAACAGCCATTACATTTCTCCATAGGAATTAATTTTAAAGCCTGAATTTACTGGAATTAAGGTGGAAACCCCAACCCTGCTATAGGTTTCTCTTTGTAATGGTTTATTGCTCTAACTGAGCCAGTGGAGAGGGTTCTCTTTCCGTCTGGCCGCTCTGTGCTATTCTTACTGCTGCCTTGACTATCTCACTGGGCCTGGAGGTCCCACTCGACTGTTTGTACATATTTATCTGGAACAATGTATTTAATAAAAAATACTGAAAACTATTCTCTATTGGTATTTCTCACCATTGAAATAAAAACATTTTAGATAAATCCCAGGGTATTATTTTGGTGTCGCAAAGCTTTTATCTAAATTATCAAATATATTTAAAAGCTCTCTTCAGTGTTTATACAAGGCTACAACAAACTCAACCCTACCAAACTTAGTGTCTTAAGTATCTTTATCCAAACATACCCTCCCCTTTATCATAGCAAATGTTACTTATGTTAAGCATGATCACTTTGACCGATCTACTGTGATTTGAATGTTTTGAAGAAAGATTGGGCCTTAATGACCATGTAGTCTGAAAATCTCCACCCGGCAAAGCCAGAAGAGGTTTGGCCACCACTCGGAGCCTAGTTACCTCTAGGTCTCTTCCTAGGTTCCTGCCTTTCTAGGGAGTTTTTCCTAGCCACTGTGCTTCTGCATTGCTTGCTCTTTGGGGTTTTAGGCTGGGTAGCACTTTGTGACAACTGCTAAAGTAAAAATGGCTTTATTAAAATACATTTGATTAATAGTAACATCTATGATAAGGTGTTTAGTCTCGAGGTTTTGCTCGCCTGAGGTAGAGTATTTTATGATAAGCTGTAGACCACACTATTTACCAAGAGAGTTTTCATCTATATTTTTCATAGCTGTCTATTTACCACCACAAACCAATGCTGGCATTAAGATTGCACTGAATGAGTTGTACAAGGCCATAAATCAACAGGAAAACGCACATCCAGATGCAGCGCTCCTAGTGGCCGGGGACTTTAATGCAGGGAAACTTAAATCCGTTCTACCTAATTTCTACCAGCATGTTAAATGTGCAACCAGAGGAAAAAAAACTCTAGACCACCTTTACTCCACACACAGAGACGCATACAAAGCTCTCCCTCGCCCTCCATTTGGCAAATCTGACCATAACTCTATCCTCCTGATTCCTGCTTATAAGCAAAAACTGAAGCAGGAAGCACCAGTGACTCGGTTAATAAAAAAGTGGTCAGATGACGCAGATGCTAAGCTACAGGACTGTTTTGCTAGCACAGACTGGAACATGTTCCGGGATTCTTCAGACAGCATTGAGGAGTACACCACATCAGTCACTGGCTTCATCAATAAGTGCATCGATGATGTCGTCCCCACAGTGACCGTACGTACATACCCCAACCAGAAGCCATGGATTACAGGAAACATCCGCACTGAGCTAAAGGGTAGAGCTGCCGCTTTCAAGGAACGGGACTCTAACCCGGACGCTTATAAGAAATCCCGCTATGACCTCCGACGAACCATCAAACAGGCAAAGAGTCAATACAGGACTAAGATTGAATCGTACTACACTGGCTCTGACGCTCGTCGGATGTGGCAGGGCTTGAAAACTATTACAGACTACAAAGGGAAGCACAGCCGCGAGCTGCCCAGTGACACAAGCCTACCAGACGAGCTAAACCACTTCTATGCTCGCTTCGAGGCAAGCAACACTGAAGCATGCATGAGAGCACCAGCTGTTCCGGATGACTATGTGATCACGCTCTCCGTAGCCGATGTGAGTAAGACTTTTAAGCAGGTCAACATTCACAAGGCCGCAGGGCCAGACGGATTACCAGGACGTGTACTCCGAGCATGTGCTGACCAACTGGCAAGTGTCTTCATTTTCAACATGTCCCTGACAGAGTCTGTAATACCAACATGTTTCAAGCAGACCACCATAGTCCCCGTGCCCAAGGACTCTAAGATAATAATAATAATAATAATAATAATTCGTAGCAGGCTAACTAATTTAACCTGCCTAAATGACTACCGACCCGTAGCACTGACGTCTGTAGCCATGAAGTGCTTTGAAAGGCTGGTCATGGCTCACATCAACAGCATTATCCCAGAAACCCTAGACCCACTCCAATTTGCATACCGCCCCAACAGATCCACAGATGATGCAATCTCTATTGCACTCCACACTGCCCTTTCCCACCTGGACAAGAGGAACACCTACGTGAGAATGCTATTCATTGACTACAGCTCAGCATTCAACACCATAGTGCCCTCTAAGCTCATCACTAAGCTAAGGATCCTGGGACTAAACACCTCCCTCTGCAACTGGATCCTGGACTTCCTGACAGGCCGCCCCCAGGTGGTAAGGGTAGGTTTACAACACATCTGCCACACTGATCCTCAACACGGGGGCCCCTCAGGGGTGCGTGCTCAGTCCCCTCCTGTACTCTCTGTTCACCCATGACTGCATGGCCAGGCACGACTCCAACACCATCATTAAGTTTGCCGACGACACAACAGTGGTAGGCCTGATCACCGACAACGATGAGACAGCCTATAGGGAGGAGGTCAGAGACCTGGCCGTGTGGTGCCAGGACAACAACCTCTCCCTCAACGTGACCAAGACAAAGGAGATGATTGTGGACTACAGGAAAAAAAAAGAGGACTGAGCACGCCCCCATTCTCATCGACGGGGCTGTAGTGGAACAGGTTGAGAGCTTCAAGTTCCTTGGTGTCCACATCACCAACGAACTATCATGGTCCAAACACACCAAGACAGTCGTGAAGAGGGCACGACAAAGCCTATTCCCCCTCAGGAGACTGAAAAGATTTGGCATGGGTCCTCAGATCCTCAAAAAATTCTACAGCTGCACCATCGAGAGCATCCTAACTGGTTGCATCACCGCCTGGTATGGCAACTGCTTGGCCTCCGACCGCAAGGGGCCAAGCTTCCTGCCATCCAGGACCTCTATACCAGGCGGTGTCAGAGGAAGGCCCTCAAAATTGTCAAAGACTCCAGCCACCCTAGTCATAGACTGTTCTCTCTGCTACCGCACGGCAAGCGGTACCGGAGTGCCAAGTCTAGGTCCAAAATACTTCTCAACAGCTTCTACCCCCAAGCCATAAGACTCCTGAACAGCTAATCATGGCTACCCGGACTATTTGCACTGCCCCCCCACCCCATCCTTTTTATGCTGCTGCTACTCTGTTAATTATTTATGCATAGTCACTTTAACTCTACCCACATGTACATATTACCTCAACTAGCCGGTGCCCCCGCACATTGACTCTGCAACGGTACCCCCCTGTATATATAGCCTCCCTACTGTTACTTTATTTTACTTCTGCTCTTTTTTTTCCCTCAACACTTTTTTGTTGTTTTATTTTTAATTTTTTTGTTAAAAATAAATGCACTGTTGGTTAAGGGCTGTAAGTAAGCATTTCACTGTAATGTCTGCACCTGTTGTATTCGGCGCATGTGACCAATACAATTTGATTTGATTTATGACATACAGGACTAAAGTAAACATTTCATAATTCACTGGGTAAAATCCTGCACCATTGTAGAGATTGCACTCAGACATGTCATAAACCAATGTAAAGAAACAAGAGGCAAAGTTTATTGATCTTGTTTTGCATACTATACAATGTGCTTTTCAATGACAGGGTGTACTTTGCTAACTTTCAGTACAATAAAACAAGTTTTTCAGGACAATAAAAAGAACAAAGACTGAAGGGTTGAGTGACCTAGACAGGTTTAAAGTGTGACCCATAGGGACAGAAGGGGATTCTTCAGTAGAAGAGAAAATACCACTAAATGAGACATGAACACTCATTACAAAACAGGCAGAGATAGTGATTTGATTTTGACTTATAAAAAAAAGACCTATCCCACAAACAGTATCACATTCTGTTAACCTATCAAGAGAAGGATGGCCTCTACTAGTGCATGACACATTGATCGATTATTCTGATCTGAATCTGTTATTTCTAACACAGGGGTCTCCAACCCAGTTCCTGGAGAGCTACCCTCCTGTAGGTTCTCTCCAATCCCAGTTGTCTTATCAACCAGCTATTTATTCAAATCAGGTGCGCTAGATTAGGGTTGGAGTGAAAACCTATAGGACGGTAGCGGTCCAGGAACAATGATCTAATGCTCAACATTTGTCTGACTTTCAAAGATCTACAAATTTGAATTGTACACATAATTAGAGATCAGATAATTGCATCATATATACTTTTTGTAAACATGGATTTCCTGTGGGAAGATTCAATTTAGTAATACGGTACCAGTCCTAGATAGGAGCTGGCTGGGTGGGTGGTGATGTGGTACCATTGGTGGTCTAGATTAAGTATTGCCCCATGTCGTGCTGTGGGCCGTCGGGCCAGGCGGAATTGATGAGCTCCATCAGGCTGTTGTGGTGGGAGATCTGCAGGCTGACGTTGTCGTTCTGGAGGGACGATGCCCCCTCCCCTTGGGCCACCTCGTGGAAGTAACGACAGATCAGGGGAACCACCTGGAAAAGCAGAGAGGAGAGAAGGGAATGGGAATAGGAGAGAGAGGGGAAGGGATGGAGAGGGAATGAGAAACAAGAGGTGGAGAGAAGACATTTCAAAATTAGGATGTGCAACTGGATTATACAACATATTACATAGGAATGTATACATACTGTATATAGTAGGTTTGTTCTAGGGCAGGGCTCTCCAACCCTGTTCCTGGAGAGCTAACCTCCTGTAGGTTTTCGCTCCAACCCCAGTTGTAACTAACCTGATTCAGTTTATCAACTAACTAATTATTCTAGTCAGGTGTGCAAGATTAGCTTTTGGAGCGAAAACCTACAGGATGGTAGCTCTCCAGGAATAGGGTTGAGAGCCCCGTTCTAGGGTGTGTTAGTATTCTGCCTGTTGCCTTACTGGTTAAAGCTCATGAGAGAGAGGGTTACCTTGACGACAATGAGTTTCTTCTCCAGGGGTTTTCCGTCTGGGAACTTCTCGCCGAAGCACATGTGGATGGTATAGTCAGGAGAGCCTCGCCTGTTCTCCTTAAACGCTATCAGCTCTGAAAAGGTTGATGGTTGTCAAAGCGCTGACAGACAGTGGATACATGTCTTAGAGAAATGTGTGTACCAGTATACGTGTGTGTATAGCTGGGTTTGTGTGTGTGCATATAGCTGGGTTTGTGTGTTTATGTGTCGGCCAGTGAGCCATACTTACCATTTTCGTACTGCTGGAAGCTCAACAGTTGTACCATTTCATTATGGGGCATCTTCCTGGGTTCAGGGTGTGCCTCTCTGGGGTCGCTAGTACTGGAGAACACGTGGCACTTGTCCTGCCGGTAACCATAGATACCAGTGTTTCGTACCTCCAGGAGAAGACCCCTTTGGACGCTTTCTAGGATGTGGTTGGTGTATTCAATCTGGTGTAAATGGAGGCACAAAGAAGTTAGTCTTGGAATAAAATGTAGTGGTTTTGCGTGTCGCCAGTGAGTCTTGTTGCTATGTACATTGCTAGTGAATTGACCAGTCAGTTTCAGTTGCATATAATTTAATAAAGACACATATTGGAAAACCACAGGTAAGTACACAGAACCACAGATAGTAGTGCAGGTGAATGGTAGCAGCACCAGGTGTGCTGCTGTACTGTACCTGTTTGTGGTCCGGCAGGCCGTCAGTGCTGGGGAAGCAGAGGGGCTGGGTGTTGGGCTCGAGAGCGTCACACTGGTAGTGGAGCTGAACCCTGGGGCATGACACCTGGGTCTTCAGCATCTCTTTCCTCCTGTAGGAGATGGTGATCTCCAGGTCCAAGAGAGATGGGTGGACCGCAGGCGGGTTGAGCAGGGCATCCTGGTTCACTGTGGGGGAGATAGGAAAGGTCATCAAATAGGTCACATTGTACTATATGAGTGAAATTCACTTTATTTTACAATACAGAAATTACATGGTAAAATGTTATTTACACAATAACAACAAGTTGGATGTGTGGATTGTCCCTTTTTCATTGACTTGTGGAAGTATGGCCCTGGCATACCGTCGTAGTATGGCTGCTGTATTAGGACTGGTTGTGAGACTGGCTGGGGCTCTGGTAGAGGCTGGATGGGGTAGCAGTCTTCTGGTACCACTGGGTAGTGTGTGTGTACCGGTATATAATTCTCTGTCCACTGCTGCTCCTCTGTGGAGAAGAAGAAAGGAAGAGTTGAAAACTTGTCCCGTCGTTAGAAAGCTTTCTCCAGAATTTGTATTTAAATGTTTGTAATTAACAACCCATTGTAATGGGTTACTTTCTGCAGGTGGGGAGGTGCTGTACCTGTGTGTTGGGTCAGGTCTTGGGTGTTCAAGGTTAGGTTGCTAAAGTTAAGCATTTCATCATGCTGTTTGGAGAAAAAAAAATTTCACTGATTTAACATAAGTTTGTCCCAAAAAAAAAAAGACTAGAATCAGGGTTAAAGAACCAGCTCCTGGTTCAATATAGATGTAATGTTACTGTACCTCCATGCCTGGGGGGATGTAGTCTGTAGGGGTGAGAGAGCTGAAGATGTCAATGTCATAGTCCTCCAGAGTGATTTCTTCTATGTGCGGGCTCTCATAGTTATCTGTAACAAAAAAAAACATTAATCAATTTTAAAAATTGGGGCAAGAAGAGACTCAAGTTCAGCAGGCTAACAGTTGTGGCACTTTAGAGAAGTTACACAAGCCTTAGTGATCTTACACTCATTGATGACCAGGTAGACTTTATGTGGGTCTTTTGAGTCCTTGGAGTGGTCTTCCACCATCTTGAAACGCTTGGTCAGGTTGTTCAGTGCACAGCGGAAGTTGGTCTTCCACTTTGCCTTGTCATTGGGATGCTCATTGATTTTACCGCTGACCACTGCCCATGCCTGTAACCAGAGAATTGAAGTGTCATCATAACGAGTTTTGTATATATATATATATATATATATACAAATGTCATGAATCAGTTTACAATCAAACCACACCCTCTATTTCCTTGAATTTCTGCAAAGCTCTGGCCACCGTCCACCATATATTCCTTACCCTGAATATTTTACAGTCGTCCTCGGAGCAGTCCTTCCTAGAATTGTGTTTCCACGGGACTCTGAACTTCTTGTTGTCCATAAAGGTCAACCCGGCGTATTGCTCGGTCCGCACCTGTTCAATCAGCCAGTCAGCGAACTGAGGTTTGGGTTTGCAGCTGAATCATGCAAGGAGAAAGCAGATAGCCTAACGTTACATACTTAAGAAAAGAGGGGCAGTAGCTGCAAAATTGGTGAGCGAATTGTCATTGAAAGAGCACGTCTTAATTCCACAGAAAGAGAGAGAGACTACCATTGCACTACCTCGCAACAATCAATTAAATCTGTAACATTGTTTTTTGCAGTAGCCTAAAAGCACAGTACATTCACTAAGCATAGCCGAGCCCATGGAAATATCAATTTCGAACTCTATTGTACAGTTATCAATTTAACTACAACTACTATAGTCTGCAGATTACCAGAACATTCTCTCTGTTTACCTGAAGTACAGATATTAAAAATGTTACTTACCTTTGCATCTTTAATGCTGAGCCGCGTAGGCTTTTTTCTGTTTTACTGTGGACGTGTACTACTATACAAGTGTTCTCAGTTAATGGCCGGGCACACGAGTTTTATAGGCGTCATGATGTCATATAGTTGGACTTCCCCCTTGGATAAAGAGGAGGAGATATATTTATTATTTATTCCCACAGAGTTGGTTGGGTACTTTAATCTAATGCATCTATGTGTATCCAACTCATTGGTTTGGTGTAACAAATGGTGTTGCGAATTGAGAAACGTCGGTCTGAAAGTGAAAGTTATGCTGACACTATAGATTGCGCATTCTTGATTGCGTCATCTTCTTGTTCAGTCAGCAAATGATAATGAAACAAACAAAATAGCCTATTTTTCTCTCACACTGAAATCGGCAATCAAACTGTCAGGGTCATTAATATACAATACATAATAGGCTGTATCATAACAAACATTTATGATGTCAATCTTATACAGAGCGATCTCCCGAGTGGCGCAGTGGTCTAAGGCACTGCATCTCTGTGCCACTAGAGATCCTGGTTCGAATCCAGGCGCACAATTGGCCCAGCGCCGTCCAGGGTAGGGGAGGGAATGGCCGGCAGGGATGTAGCTCAGTTGGTAGAGCATGGCGTTTGCAACGCCAGGGTTGTGGGTTCCATTCCCACGGGTGGCCAGTATAAAATGTCATACAGCACATTGTTCTGGAGTTTTAGGTATTAGAGGATGCATTTATTTGGGATTGGGTTTTGGACAGCATGTAATGATAATGCATCCTAATCATCAGTAAAACTGGATTAAGGCAGTCTGAACGACCCATCATGCATTTTGTTCCATTCTGTATTATTTCACATTTATTTATAAGCCCTTTTTACATCAGCAGATGTCACAAAGTGCTATACAGAAACCCAGCCTAAAACCGCAAACAGCAAGCAATGCAGATGTAGAAGCACGGTGGCTAGGAAAAACTCTCTAGAAAGGCAGGAACCTAGGAAGAAACCTAGCGAGGAACCAGGCTCTGAGGGGTGGCCAGTCCTCTTCTGGCTGTACCTGGTGGAGATTATAAGAGTACATGGCCATTTAAGGCCAGATTGTTCTTCAAGATGTTCAAACGTTCATAGATGACCAGCAGGGTCAAATAATAATCAGTGGTTGTAGAGGGTGCAACAGGTCAGTACCTCAGGAGTAAATGTCAGTTGGCTTTTCATAGCCGAGCATTCAGAGAGAGAGAGAGAGTCGAAAACAGCAGGTCCAGGACAAAGTAGCACGTCCGGTGAACAGGTCAGGGTTCCCTAGCCGCAGCCAGAACAGTTGAAACTGGAGCAGCAGCACGACCAGGTGGACTGGGGACAGCCAGGAGTCATCAGGCCAGGTAGTCCTGAGGCATGATCCTAGGGCTCAGATCCTCCGGGAGGGGAGGGAGACCTGTATGTCACAACTGTAACATTCCATTTGACTGGTTCTAAAGGGATTTTACGCAGATGATATTCAATGACATGCTAGTTTTGTCTCGACACCCCTATCACACTGAGAATGCACTGAAGGCACTTGTCACTGCTTAAAGAATCCTAATTGCAGGAAGTGTGTCTCATGTTATCTCCAGGAGTGGAAATTCACTAACAAACAAACAAACATTTGAATCTCTATGCCAACTGCGGTCAATATGGTAAATGCTGAAGGTCCTTTAATTGCATTCACATTGAACAATACTTCCAGGGAACTTAAGGGGATTTCAGGCAAACAGATGAAGACAATGGCCCCTAGAACACTGCAACTAGAACAGTTTTAATCAGAAACGTTGAGTGCTTGCATCAGCAATCCACATATTTGTAGGTCTAATGACTTTAAATCATATAATTGTTCTAATATTATATCAAAGCAATGCAGTTATATTTAGTTATAAGTGACTGTGCATGAAAATGAAAATACATTTCACTACAGCCCTTTGAGTTTGATTCAAACATGACCTAATACATTAATTAATTCTACAAGGCACCCATCTACTTCAGCCATTTGGTCACTTGCCTGGACCTTAGTAGTGGATTGGGTTGCAGTCCAGGGTTTGTGGGCTAACTATAACCCACAACAGCTGCTATGAGTGACGTGCTATTGGTCGAGCGGATCCAGGGTGGATCACCACAGATTGTCACTTATGAAACTTCTCTGTAAATACAAGATTAAGCATTGTTCCTATTTATAACCCCACATCTGGGGTTAGGCTGATGCCGATTCATAAATTATTTCCAGAATCTGCAGATATCCTATTGGATATGTTCATTCATAGTAAAAATTCACAAAATCATATTCCTGCTGTATTTGGTTCAATTAATTATGCAGTAATACATCATTCAGATAAGAGTTGCTGAATATGTTTTCACTTTCAGTTCGCTCCAGTGTTCATGCGTCTTGGTTGTAAAATGAGGTAGGGACAGCATTTCTTTCTCCTCTGTGCATTGTAATAGGAGAATGTCAACCTGAATAACACTGTCCTAATGCGAGGTATAATAAATTACCTATACCCCAAATAAAACAATGGGACTGAGAGAGGGGTGCATTTAGCAGGAGTTTTGGACTGAGGAAGCTGCAGGTGTGTTGTTATATCATTTGCTTACGTGTGAGACATGGTAAAAAATAAGTTAGACAGTGAGCAGAGTGAGAGGGGCTGGGGATGCCCTCTTCTTTCTTGACGAGAGAACCTCTAATATTGTCTCTCAGCTGGGCCTAGAATAACACTTTGTTTTTTCAGCCCTTCTCTTTCAATACAACCACACTGACATACAGCAGGGGGAAACACCAGGATGTATAATAATCACATTTCCTCTTTATTCTAGATCTGTGTCCTCCCACCCACAGGTCATGAGTAGGAAGCAATATTAGGCTGCCACACAATGATGAAAAAGCAAAAGTCATATCACTGTCTATTACTATTTCAGTCACTATCACTACAATCACTGTGGCAGTCTAGTAGTCTCTCTATTTGTCTCAAGGAAGCCTCTGTTTAGCATAGTCTGACCTATCTTCATTGCCTCAGTGAGCCTAATCAAGGCTTCACACTCTGGTTAACCTGTGGTAAATGGATTAAAAGTAGTCTTATTATACCTATATAGTACATGCTCCACCATGTCCGTCTCAGGAATGGGGAAGCGAAATTCACTCTAGCTGAACACTTCCCTGTTCCCGCTCATTGGAAGTGTTGTTGTGCCGTAATCTGTGGTTTGTCTCTTAGTAGGAGCAGGCCCCTGTGGCTCTGTGGCCAGGTGTAGGCCCCTGGACCGGCACTGGGGAAGGATGTAGCTCCCTCATTCAGACGCAGTTTTCACATCCCTATTCACACACATACATGCGCGAATGGAGAAGTGTGGATAGAGGTTTACTCAAGTGTGTGTCAGGGTCAATGGATTAATTCAGAAATGTTTAGGAAAATCTCTTGAAAAAAATCTCTCAGTTGAAATCCTCTTCTTGCTTTAGTTTGTGATTAGCATTTGTCATACCAGGAAGTGCAAGAAAAATGGGTCAATACCGGTAAGACAGTTTAGGCACTGGATTGTGGCCACACTTTCTTACCAGTTTCTTACCAGTATATCTAAATTATTCAGCATCTTGCAGCACGGAGAGGAGAGCATGTATTGTTGAGCAGACAATTAAGAGAGAGAGTTCTGTATCAAAGATCCCCCAAGGCTCCTATATTGTAGGGAGTTTTGAGGGGGAAATCCAAACTGCATCTCTTGGGAGATTGAGACCTTCAGAAACAACCACTTTTCTCTATTTTTCTCTTTCTGTCTCCCTCCACACCATTCTGCCATTCTGTCTATCTGGATACCTTCCTCTCTGTCTATATCAGTCTATCTGTCTCTGATTTTCTGTCTCTGTCTGTCTCTCCCTGTCTCCCTCCTCTCTCGATTGTCTACCATTATCAACACTATCTAAATAGACTGGTATGTTTAGTATCTACTGTAACTCTGTACCCCAGAGTATAGTCAGGTCTGATACTGTATACTGTACGTATAGGCTGGTTTCATCACTATGAGTGCTTGTATAAGGATCATAAAGAAACATACTGTACACACCCACACGTCCCTGTATTGGCATAATACTGATCTAAGGGTGTTGGACTTCCTGTGGGTGTTTATTTTCTAATCTGTGTGGAGGTGGGTGTTGCATCACCAGTTGAAACTAGTTTTATCCCCAGGTCCAGGTTTGACCAGCTCCTGACCTGCCAATGATAATAGACCAACACAACTAACTGTAGGCTATATCTGATATTGTTTATATATACACTGAGTGTACAAAACATTAAGAACATCTGCTCTTTCCATGACATAGACTGGCCAGGTGAATCCAGGTGAAAGCTATGATCCCTTATTGATGTCACTTGTTAAATCCACTTCAATCCATGTAGATGAAGGGGAGGAGACAGGTTAAATAATAATTTTTAAACCTTGAGACAATAGAGAGATGGATTGTGTATGTGTGCCATTCAGAGGGTGAATGGGCAAGACAAAATATTTAAGTGCCTTTGAACGGGGTATGGTAGTAGGTTCCAGGCGCACCTGTTTGTGTCAAGAACTGCAACGCTGCTGAGATTTTCACGCTCAACAGTTTCCTGTGTGTATCAAGAATGGTCCACCACCCAAAGGACATCCAGCCAACTTGACACAACTGTGGGAAGCATTGGAGTCAACATGGGCCAGCATCCCTGTGGAACGCTTTCAACACCTTGTAGAGTCCATGCACCGATGAATTTAGGCTGTTCTCAATATTAGGAAGGTGTTCTTAATGTTTTGTAAACTCAGTGTAGACCAGCGGAGGCTGCTGAGGGGAGAACGGCTCATAATAATGACCGGAACGGCGCAAATGAAATGGCATCAAACACCTCAAACCATGTGTTTGATGTATTTGATACCATTTCACTGATTCCGCTCCAGTCATTACCACGAGCTCGTTCTCCCCAATTAAGGTGCCACCAACCTCCTGTGGTGTAGGCCTACTGCACATTAAGAAACAAATAGGCCTACTTCATGAAGTACCGCTGATGGAAACACCCCAACCCTATTCCCTATTGCC